AGGCGGCTGCTGCTCCCCGCTCGGAATCGCCGGGAAGCCGCTCCGTTTGCGCCCGCGTTCCGGGCTTGGCGGAGAGGACGGCTTGCGGGAACGCCGGCGCGCTTCCCGCATGGATATTTCCTTCCTTTCGGCTCTGCCGCGGCATTCCAGAGCGCTGGGAAAACAGGCCTGGGAAACCGGGCGCCGGCGGAGGCTGCCATGGCCAAAAACGAGGCAAAAAGGCCCAGTAAGTGGCAATTAGCAGGATTCCTGGGAATGCTGGAAGAAGGAAGCACAACAGATCCCTTAAAAACAGTTTCCTTCCAAGCGGGAAGTGTTAGTAATATTGAGCTCCCTTCGGCACACCTCATGTGTAGCATGGAAATCCTGGAAAACTCCCTCTTCTAAAGCAGGGAAAATGGGGCAAGTTGGATAAAGCCTTTAATATCCATAGAATTCACAAATCCCAGGCGGAATCACCGCTCACCTCAGCTTTCCCGGGATGAGGATCTCTTGGAGCTTCTGTATCATGGAATCCGGTTCTTCAGCAGGGGGAAATGCAGCAGAGCCACCAATATATCACTTTATTCCAAGTTAAAACCCAGCCTGTTGTAAGAAAGAGATTAAAATGTCGGTTATCTCCCATGGTGTAGTAATAAACTGCTCTTCTATATCTCCGTGGACACCAAAGTTCACTCGAGAGACGCGTGTCAAACCAAAACAGGGCAGTAACAACAAAACACGGCTATTTAGGCTTGCTTAAAACCCCTGCTGCTGACTAACACAACCATATACTGCTTTTATAAAGGTACTTCGAGGCTGCTCAATGTCCCTGCAGCTCCTTCCTGCTGCAGCCACTAGACTGCAGCACCAGGCCCTAATGCTGCATCATTTGCCCTCTACCTAATTTGCTCTAATTACCTGCAGCTGATTTTCCTCCTGCTTCTTCCCAATTACTTTCAGTTGGGTGAGGAAAAAACCTGCAACGGGGCAGAAAACAGCTTGGAAAGGTCCCGATGAGCTGCAATCACCCGGATTTTCTTATTTTGCACTCCGGATTTCCCAGCCATGTGCGGATAACAACCATTGCATGATGTTTTACCCCTGACTCACACGTTTTGCTGCATTTTTGGGTCTGTTTCATGAAGCGTTGGCTTAGGAAAGCGCTTAAGCCACGAGGAGGTTTAGTTTAATGCTCACAAGCCCATTCTCACGGGTGCATTTACTAGCCCCATTTCCACCGTTGTTCCATTCCCCATTTCCCCCCTTATCCCCGCAAATTCCTTTCCCAAGGACTTCCCCCTTCCTCTTCCCTACAGACCAGGCCACAAGCCCAACATTCCCGGGCCTCTTCCCCCCGCATTTCTCCCCCATCACACCGCCCTTCGCGCTCACCACAAACCGCTTCCCCCGCCAGCCGCCTCCTGCTCTCCTCATGCTTCTGCCTTGCCCCCTTCGCGCTCACCTTCCCCGCAGCCCCTCACTGCTCTCTCACAGCCGCTTGTTCCCGGTATCTCCGTTCATTCCCGGTATCTCCGTTCAACCAGTCTCCCGTTGCTGTCATGTAAGCGCTTCAAAAATTGTGCTTTTGTTGCATTTTACCTGTAAAATGCAGTCCCAGTTGATAACACCATGGAAAATAATAATTATAATATTTCTCTTCCGCGGGAATTTCACTTCTGTCCCGTTTTCTTACAATAATACCCTGAATAAGGATATGTTTTCTTCGGAAGTTCTTGCACCCTGCTCTCCAGCTGGAAAAGGGAAGATTTGCAGGCATTAAAATGACAGATTGGCGAAATATGTTGCTAACATCTATATTAGTAGCTTTCCCCGAAGCAGAGAAGACACGTTCTGCTTCAGTCTTCCTGCATTTCAAATTCCCTGTGAAATGGATTAAGGAAAATGGGCTTTTTCTGGGTCTAGCATTAAAAGTTTAAAGGAGAGTGCCTTTAGTAAAACACTCTTCTTGAGGGAGCAGGTAAGCTAATTGCTAACGTATATAGGAACATATACAGTTTTGATGAGTTGAAAACAGCGTGTTTAAAGCCCAGGACTATCAGCACTCAGGTAGGAAAACGAGACATAATTCTGTTCTCCCGCTTTTTTTCCAGGAAAAGGCGAAAAAAATGGTAAAATTCCTTGCAATCACTGGTCCCGTTCAGTGGTTTGGAATAGCAGGGGGTGTTGCACCAAAGCTCATGGGAAGGTGGAATGTCAGTTTAGGGAAACCTTGGGAATAAAGTACTTGCAGGGCTGCAAATTGCGAGATTTGGAGCAGGTTTTTTATTTTCACCTCATTTTTGTGCAGGATATAAAGGGAATAAGGAATAAAGGGAAAAGTTTGGCATTCTGGGAGTAACCAGGCATGGTGTGGATCATATCCTAAGGAGGTTGTTCCTCCCTTGGGGCATATCCTAAGGATGTTGTTCCTCCCTGGGGCATATCCTAAGGAGGTTGTTCCTCCCTTGGGGCATATCCTAAGGAGGTTGTTCCTCCCTTGGGGCATATCCTAAGGA